CCGAGTGTTTAAACCCTAATGCATGAGAAATGGCAAGTAAACACCACAGTTACATATCTGCCTTCATGCAAGAAGGTCCGAATAAGTGTGCGAGTGTTTACTCCCTAATGCATGAGAAATGGCAAGTAAACACCATAATTACATATCTACCATCATGCAACAAGGTCGGAAAAAGTTTTAGAGTGACGAATCCAATTGCACGAGAAATGGCAAACAAACACCATAATTACATATCTGTCATTATGCAAGAGGGTTCGAATAAGTGTCCGAGTCTTTAAACCCTAATGCATGAGAAATGACAAGTAGACACCATAATTACATGGCTGCCATTATGCAAGAGGGTTCAAATAAGTGTCCGATTGTTTAAACCCTAATGCATGAGAAATGGCAAGCAAACACCATAATTACGTATATGGCATCATGCAAGAGGGTCCGAATAAGTGTCCGAGTGTTCGAATCCTAATGCACAACAAATGGCAAACAAACACCATAATTACATATCTGCCATAATACAAGAGGGTCCGTCCGAATAAGTGTCCGAGTGCTTAAACCCTAATGCATGAGAAATGGCAAATAAACACCATAATTACATATCTGCCATCATGCAAGAGGGTTCGAATAAGTGTCTTAGTGTTTAAATCCAGATGCTTGAGAAATGGCAAGTACACACCATAATTACATATCTGCCATCATGCAAGAGGGTTCAAACAAGTGTCCGAGTTTTTAAACCCTAATGCCTGAGAAATGGCAAGTAAACACCATAATTACATATCTGACATCATGCAAGAGGGTTCGAATAAGTGTCCAAGTGTTTAAACCCTAATGCACGAGAAATGGCAAATAAACACCATAATTACATATCTGCCATCATGCAAGAGGGTCTGAATAAGTGTCCAAGTGTTTAAACCCTAATGCATGAGCAAGTGAACACCATTATTACATATCTTCCATCATGCAACAAGGTCATAATAAGTTTCAGAATGTTCGAATCCTATTGCACGAGAAATGGCAAACAAACACTATAATTACATATCTGCCATCATGCAAGAGGGTCTGAATAAGTGTTAGAGTATTTAAACCCTAATGCATGAGAAATGGCAAGTAAACACTATAATTACATAGCTGCCATCATGCAAGAGGGTCTGAATAAGTGTCTGAGTGTTTAAACCCTAATGCATGTGAAATGGCAAGTAAACACCGTAATTACATATCTGCCATCCTGCAAGAGGGTCCGAATAAGTGTCCGAGTGTTCGAATCCTAATGCACAAGAAATGGCAAACAAACACCATAATTAGATATCTGCCATAATGCAAGAGGGTCCGAATAAGTGTCCGAGTGTTTAAACCCTAATGCATGAGAAATGGCAAGTGAACACCATAATTACCTATCTGCCATCATGCAAGAGGGTTCGAATAAGTGTCCGAGCGTTTAAACCCAAATGCAAGAGAAATGGCAAGTTGTAGACACCCCATTTTTGACCATCCTCAAGACTTGGACGTCAGTGTTTGAACACTCGATGATCATCCACGTTTGTGTTTGTTTTGAGTTCTCGGAGGTCTCGGTTGCGTGTCTTGCCTTAAGATCTCTCAACTTGACTATTTTGTGCTTGGTTGTGGGCCAAACACTTGTGTTTACTTCTAAGGGAAGAGGGTGGCTTGTTGGCCACACTACAAGAAATTACACTTTTGGCGACTACTTTTGGCGACTACTTTTGGCGACGACGTCAATTTTTCATCGCCAAAAGTATATTTTTGGCGACACAGTGATCAATTTCGTTGGTAAAAGTATACCTTTACCGACGCAATTTGTTGCTGTCGCTAAAAAGGCATAACATTATTTTAGCGCCAAATTTTTTGGTTGGCATGTATTTAAACACAAAATCAAACAATGGAGTACATTCCCTTTCTACTCCCAACTAATCATACATGTACAATGTATATATATATAGTCATATTCAATGACAACCAACAAGATATTAGTTTCAATTTACCTAATCTTCATGCCATTTCTACAACAATCATAACTATCCTCCACCAATAGACCAATACAGTTATTTCTAAACAGATATTCAATCTTAAGACAGATAGTTTTATTCAAAACTTCCAAAGAATGAGATAGTACATACCCAATTCCACTATTTATATCAACACCCTTCTAATCTCACATTTTCAATGTCAACTTCAATTATTTATACAAAATAATAATTTGATCCAATTAGGGCAATTTTCCCATTTTTCCCAAATCATTAACCAATTAAAACCTAAAGAAAAAGATAAAGAGAGTTGAATATGAAAAATATGAGTGTACTATAAAAAAATAATAATATTTTATTTTAGAATTTGATATGTATTATCATTATTAATGAATTTACATTAATATAGTTAAAATTTTAAAATTTTAACTAAACTAATGTGTTATTATTTAGCAGCAAATAGAATTATTATTTTATTTTCATCACATGGGTCATTCGTAAACTCCATTATGAGGTGTGAGTGACCCACTTTGTTTTGGGTGAAAAATTATTAAATAGTGTTTTTAGTATAATGTGACAATTTATATGGAGATTTTTAAATTAAGATTTGAATTTGAAAAATGTTAGAACTTATTCTTACGAATCCTAAATTTAGCTCGAATGTGTTTGTATGATGGAAATTAAATTGATGAAATATAGGATCCACATAAAAAATGAATTTAAGTCATCATCCTTATCTCAGAATTCGTAGTTCTCTCTCCCTCACGATTTCACTCTTGATCGTAGGGTTTGTGCTGTTTGCTGCTGCCGTGCGAGATCGGTGCTTCAGTCTGCCCTTACAGGTTTGTTCCCTTTTGCTTTGTATCTCAATGCCCCTGCTTCTCTCTCTCAATTTCTTAAATGAATCTATGCTTGTCTATTTTCACTATTACGAGTTTCGGGAGTCTGACCTCTAGTGCATATATTAACCATCCATTTAGTCAAGTTATGTTAACACCAATTGCAAATGCAGTACCTATGGACTATTGATCCTTCGCATGCATTCCTGGTTCAATTCCTTATGGGTAATTTAACTAAATTTTCTGGTCTGTAATATGTCTAATTGCTTATTTATTTATTTATTGGTTAATTGGGTTAGTTTATGTTAAATTTGATTAAATTTTAGTTGTGTATTACTATTGTGAACCCATCAACGAAGAGAAATGGAAAAAGAGGGACCCATTTACTGGAATTATATTGAGTTTTTGGTTCAAACAAGGCCAGTTTGCTTATGTCATTTCTACTCTCCAGAATTTGGTTTTGTTTTTGTTTGTCTTTTCATTTTCTGAATTGTTTTATCTTTAAGATTATATATATTGATCTCAGTTTATGTGTTAAGTAATTAACAACTATGATTTGTTGTTATGAAAATGCAGTAATTGGGGAAATATTGGTTTCTAACATTTATATATATATATCCACACTTGAGTTTATACTATATATACTATGGTGGGACACTCCTCACCTTATTGTACCTTTTTCCCTCTAAACAGTTCCCACTCTTTTGGTGTCAGTTATCTTCAGATAATAATTTCTCTCATATTGCCTAGTAGTATCATTTTTAAGAGTTATTACTAACATCACTTCCATACCATTGGTGAGGGACTATGTTACATGGGCTTGAGTATGATGAGGAAACTTCTTAGGTTTGTTGATGTTGATTGCAAAGCCATGTTGAATTTTCAATGCAAGGTAGGCTTTTTAAAAAAATTACAAATAATTGGTAAACTTTACAAGTATATTAATAATTAAAGACAAAAGTTTTTCATCAATCTGTAATAATTTTTTGACAGTTCCACTGATTAGTAATTTCCCCTTCAATTTTCCCCTTCTTTCTAGAAGACCTTCAAAAAATGTGCCCGTGAAGTGGAGGAACTTAAGTGATTTAAAAGGAAATATAGTAGATAAGTTTTGCATACTATACAACCTTTACATGGTTGGAGCATGAACCTCAATATCTGTACATATTTCATAATTATACACCATGTTCCTTTTCTCAATCCACAAAAAATTCCTCAAACCCAAATTAAGTGCAACTCGAGGAGTAGCATAAGAATGAACCCACCTTAACCCCAGCCTGCTATGTGGCTCCACTAGCACATATCTGCCTGATGACCCTCGCCTACTGCCCCACGCCTTCTTCAACTAGATTGAATGTCTTCTATCATATTTGAGACTTTTTGATGTGCTCCTCACCATCTCATCTCATTTCAAGTGAAACACTTTCTTGAATTTCAAAAAAATGATGTTCAGTCCAAATAACACTACTCTCATGCAATCTCTATACCACCCATACTTTAAGAACAAAAATGAAAATTTTGAATTATAAAAGAAAAAAAAAACTTTTAACATTTGGAAAAAATCTAGATGACCCATTTAATGTGTTTAAGTGATGAACACGTGTGTCTTTCAAGTGTTTGAAGTGTGTTTGAGTGTGATTTAAAATAAAAGACACGTTTGGATGCAGGTGCAACATGTGTCAGGATATGTCTGACGGGTGTCAGTGTTCGACATGGACAAACCATCTGACGGGTGTCAGTGTTCGACACGAACACACCACCTTCTTAGAAGTGTTCGTGTTTATTAGCACAAGCATATTATGTATTTTTGTTCTTGTGAAGAATTAAGAAAGATAAATTAGATACATAATTTACCTTTGAGTTTTTTTTCTCTTCTTTACTTTTTGGGTTACCTACTTTGTGTAGTTCCTTAGTTTATTTCAGTTAAGATATTGTTGTAACAAAGGGGAATAGTACCGGTTGTGTCCTATTGGTATTAACTACTATGCTATGATTAGATATGGACAGGAGTTGGATGTTAATTTCTGATAGATTCAGTATGCCATATGTAGATGGGGTGAACTCATTTATTGAATTTGCAAAGGTTCATTTGGGTGAAGCTAGGGAGATTAAGTGCCCATGCGTCAATTGTTGTAACTTTTATAAGAAGGAGTAAGATATTGTGAAGGCTCATTTGCTCATAAGTGGGATGATAGTATCATACACCACTTGGTTAGAACACGGTGAACTTCCAGAAAACAATAACCTTGATGAAAGCAATAGGGAGAATGATGAGGAGAATGATGAGGATAAAGATGAATATGATGAACTGATAGAGGACTATCAAAGGGGGAATTTTATGGAGGGTGATACTCTAGAAAGAGAGGATGTACGACACTTTGATAAATTGTTGGATGCTTCCCAATGTTGCTTGTACCCAGGTTGCAAAAACTCGGATACTTTGTTATCATTCGTTATTCAGATGCTACATGTGAAGGTAGAAAATAGGTGGAGCAATAAGTCTTTTGACAAGGTTTTGGAGATACAAAGGCGATTCCTACCAGAAGGCCACGTGGTGCCAGGGTCAATTTACGAGTGCAAGAAGTTACTACGTGACTTGGGCTTGGGGTACGAGCTCATCGATGCATGTAAACATGATTGTGTACTATTCTGGAAGGAGAATGCTCACTTGGAAAAATATCCCACATGTCAAGCATCTAGGTATAGAGTAAATGATAGCAAGGGTAAGAAGATCCCTCACAAGATATTGCGTTATTTCCCATTGACACCTAGGTTGAGAAGATTGTACATGTCTAAGAAGACGGCAAAAGACATGAGATGGCATAGTGATAAGCGTGTCGATGATGGTGTAGGGAGGCATCCGGCTGATTGTAAAGAGTGGAAGGAATTTGATTTGCATTATCCAGAGTTTGCCCAGGAGACTCGCAATGTTAGGTTGGGCCTAGCCACCGATGGGTTCAATCCTTTTGGGAACATGAGCACTTCCTATAGCATGTGGCCTGTCATACTCATGCCCTATAACCTCCCACCTTGGAGATGTATGAAGGCCCCATTTTTCATGATGTCCTTACTTATTCCTGGACGTAATCAACCAGGGACTGATATTGATGTCTACCTAAGGCCATTGATTGATGAGTTGAAGGAGTTGTGGGAGAATGGTGTGATGACTTACGATGCCTCCACTGAACAGACCTTCCGGATGCATGCAGCTGTAATGTGGACTATAAATGACTTCCCTACATATGGTGACTTATCCGGATAGAGAACTACAGGTTATTTGTCTTGCCCTCCTTGTAATGATAATCCGTTGTCACGCGGGTTGATCAGTAAGATTGGGTGGGTGGGTCATCGAGCTTACTTGCCTGATAACCACCTTTGGAAGAAAGACAAGAAGTTTGATGGTTTAACTGAGCTTAGAAAGAAATCCTTGGATTTACCGGTGGAAAAAGTAATGGCTCAATTGGATCAATTGCGGGAAGTCAAGTTTGGAAAGGATCCTACCAACAAGAAAAGACCACGAGAGTCTGAAGAATTGAATTGGACAAAGAAAAGCATAATGTGAGAGTCACAGTATTGGAATAAATTAAACCTCCGACAGAATCTTGATGTCATACACATTAAGAAGAATATTTGTGAAAACTTTTACGGGACGATGTTGGCCATAGATGGGAAAAACAAGGACACGTACAAAGCACGTGATGATTTGCAAGAAATGGGCATAAGGCAAGAATTGCATCTACAGAGGAAAGATAACGGATCCGTTGTAAAGCCTCGGGCAGCCTACACATTGGATTCTCGACAAATAGATGGTTTTTGTGAATTCTTGAAGTCGATTAGTTATCCAGATGGCTATGCAGCAAACATCTCAAGATGTGTGACTTCTAAAAATGGAAGATTATCGGGCATGAAAAGCCATGATTGTCATGTCCTACTTCAGCGACTTCTACCAATTGGCATGCGTGGTTTTGTGAACAAGGAGATCTGTACAACACTATTTGAGTTGGGCAACTTCTTCCAAGAACTGTGCTCAAAAACATTAAGGCAGACTGATTTGGAAAAAATGAAGGAACGAATTGTGCTCATACTTTGCAAGTTGGAGAAAAATTTTCCTCCAGCTTTCTTTGATGTGATGGTCCATTTGGCTGTTCACTTGCCCCGTGAGGCCATGTTTGCTGGACCGGTGCAACATCGATGGATGTACCCGATCGAAAGGTAATCATTATGAACATATGGTTATTTATTAATTTGTTATAACTAAAATATTGTGCAAGAAGCATAATTTTCATTGTGAATTTTTGTTGAAGGTTTCTCGGGACTTTGAAAGGGTATGCCAGTAATAGAGCACGTCCAAAAGGTTCTATCGCTGAGGCTTACATTGTCAAAGAGTGTCTTACTTTTTGTTCAATGTACTTAAAAGGGATTGATAAACCTGAACGAAATGATGATGATGGTGAACGTGGTCTCGGGATGGAGGTCTTCACCCAAAATGTTCATCTATTCTCACCTATCACAAGGGCTCTTGACCCTTCGCAAAATGAACGAGAAATGGCTCATTGGTTTGTGTTGTACAATAGCTCTAAGGTGGAGCCATATATTGAGTATGTATTTAAATTTAATTACATTTATGCATAATCGTTCCATTTTGTTTCGAACTCTCTAAGTTAATTACGTGTATAACATTTCCTTGGGTAGAGAGCAGAAGAATATTTTACATAATCTACGAGGACGTGACATTACTCGGGTACAACGAGAAGAATTTCCAAAATGGTTCAAAAATCATGTAAGATATACTAATGAAAATAACTGAATACAATTGTTGAAACTTTCAACAAACATTAACTTAGTACACATGTTATATGGTGTTTTATGTAGATGAATGATTTGCAAACGAAAGGGTCACCTAAAGCAACTGACGAATTGTGGTCATTAGCAAATGGTCCTGGATCGGTAATTGACTTTTATTCTGGGTGCATCTACAACGGAATTCGATTCCATACTAGAAACCGTGAAAATCGTCGTGCCTACCAAAATAGTGGGTTGGTTGTAGAAGGGGATCATAATGGGAACCAAATTAATTTTTACGGCTACTTATGCAAAATATGGGAATTGAAATACTTGCATGGGGGTACAGTGGTTTGTTCCAATGTGAATGGTATGACACCGGTCACAAGAATAGAATATACTCCGATGAACATGTCACAAGTATTGATGTTACAAGACTTTGGTATAAAGATGACCAATTTGTTCTACCTAGTCAGGTAAGACAAGTATTCTATGTCAATGATACCAACAAAGGCAAAAATTGGAGAGTCGTTGAACGTGTTAAGCATCGGGGAGTATGGGATATACCAGAGCGGGATGATGTCTCTAATGATGCTTTTCAACAGGATGAAACCACTGATGGTGTTGGGGTAGTGATCCAAGATATTGATGTTCAATACAGCAGGGATGATATGGATCGTGAGATCATGTTCAATGATCAACTAATGGCAGAGAATTTAGTTCACAATGATGACGAGGATAACACAATCATAGAGTATAATGATGATGAAGATGATGAACTGCATAAACAACCTGATGTTGATGCAGATCTTGATATAGATCTTGATATAGATTATGATATGTAGTGTTTGATATGGATCTCTGTGTCAGATTATGATATGTAGTGTTTGATTTTTAATTATATGGACAAGTGTTATAATTTAATAATAAATTGCTTGGTTTACATTGCATGGCATTGTTTTTCAAATTTCATAGCATTGTTTCCTATTTCATTTCATTTAATTATATGGCATATGTACAGTTACAAAGATGTCCAGAAACGGTAAATCATTTTTGAAGCCCGGCGGCTTAGTCCAGAAGATGACGAAATATGAGAAGGATAGGAAAAAAACAATCCAGAAAAATAAAATCAGATTTGATGCTCTAGGGATAAAGTCCCTCAAGAATTCAATGTTTGGTTCTATTGAAAAGGACAATAGTGAAAGTTGTAGGATGGGAAAGAGAAAGGTGGGTGAAACTGATAATGACGAGGATTATCAACCACTTGATGATGATGAAGGACTGAGTTCTTCAAGTGATAATGGCGAGCCTTTTGATTCTCAAGTGATTGTGGTAATAAATGTGTGTTTAAAAAGTAATTTCTTTATTTTTTTCACTTGTTCTATTATTTGTGGTATGTTTAGTTATTTCAAATTTATTTTTAATTAAGCAACCTTAAATTATTGAAAATGTACTAACAATTCTTTTTTATATTATGTCAAGATATTCATATGGGTCCCGGTAAGAAAACAAATAGGTGTGCAACTCGCCTAATAGCTTCACAAGCACCTAGGGAAAAGAGAAGTACCGTTGATGAAGATACACTTACTCTTCCGAGACGACCTGTAACTGCACAAGTTAATCATTCAGCGAGCACACCTGAGGTCTCGACCCAACCTATCCATCTTCCCGCCTTACATACTAGGCCCGATCAGCTCCCTACCTCCGCCACTCAACCTAACCACCTTTCAAGTCCATGTATTGTGACTAACAGTGGAGGTGAGAAATAAATGACCACTTAAATGAAATGATAATTTCTTGTCTCAATATTTATTTAGTGCATTCATGTTTTATGTCGACTAAATTGAATAAAATTGGTCATAATAGCATCAATTCCAGTTTTGGGCAAGAAACGTGTACGAGGACCGACCTGAGGAAAGAATGTGAAGAAGATTAGAAAGGAACGTGGTGATCGAATACCTGTTACACTTAACCGTTTGACCAAATCAATAGAAGGGGAATACGCCACACCGCTAGCAGCTGCTCTTGGTCAACAAATTTGAGTTCATGCCCCAGTCCGAAATGATGGATGGCTAGAGATTGCCTTTGGGTTAAGAGAGTCTATCGTCACAAGAGTTGGGGTAATTTGAAATATATGTGTTACATATTTAACATGTTATTTATGTTAATCGCAATGACATATAAAATATATTGAATTTTATTATTTCCAATTGCAGCAAACTTTTGACTTTGGGGACTACAATAATGATGTGGATGTGAGATGTATTATTGATCATAAGTGCCAAACTTTGTACAGTGAATGGAAAAGTAGATTACACACACACTACAAATCCCTTAAAGAAAACAATGTATCTGACCTCAAAAGTCAGATACTATATCCTTGTACAAAGGATGATTGGGAATGGATGATTGACAATTTGTGGGAAACTGATGATTGGAAGGTATTTATAAAAATATTTACTAAAGTAACATCTTCCTGTATATTAATACCTAATATTTTTTTTTAATTTGTAGGTAAAGTCAGAGAATGCGATGAAAGCGAGAGGTTGTGTGAAGTATAATCATACGAGTGGCTCGAGATCATTTGCATCGCGAGCATCTATCATTGTAAGTGTAGATTTACAAATTTGAACATACTAAATTATAAATACAAAATTATTGATTGACTAGAAAATGTAGTGAAATGAAAGGTACAAGGAAGCAAACCGACTATTACGAAACTATTCGAGTACACCCACAAACGACACCGACATGGGGGAGTGTGGATAAATAACACAGCTGAGGAACATCATGTAGCCATAACTATTTCAATTTCAATAATAAATGTTTGCATTTTGATATTATGTTTTAAGCTTATTTATGTTTCATTCATAGGCCATTATGGTTTCAAAGATCGCTGAGCAATCTCAACCTAGTGTCACACATCCATTGTCTGAGGAGCAGATTTCCAGGGAAGTACTTGGGAAGAGGTCGGTCTACTTGAAGGGATACGGGATCTGCAAGGACAATACTTCATCTTCTACACATTTTGAGGCTCCTAACTCTGAGGTGATTGTTCTTCAACAGCAGTTAGTTGACCAGCGACAACAATTAGCTGACCAAGGAAAGCAGTTACTTGACCAAGCTCAAAACATGAGTACAATGCAAACTATCATTCAAATGTTGGCAGCAAAAAATAGGATAGTTCTAGCAAACATTTTGGGGTTAGTTCGAAGCACCAATGTCGAGGAGGATGCATCGGGTGTAAGGGAAGATGAAACTTCTCTTGGTTGAAATAGAGGTAAATTTGACACTTCATTAAATTGATTTACTTTATTTAACCAATCCTAACATGTGTCAACAATATAAAATTATATAAACTTTGTATTACAATCCTAGCATTACAACCTTTGTATACAATAGCTTGATAAAACAATAGCTTCACAACAATTTTCTGATTAATTTAACTGTATTTGTATATCATTGTTGAAGTTAATGCATTAATAAAATACTCATGTTTTTATCCTTTTGTTCACAAGTTGGTGATGGATGTTCGTGGTTCAGTAGTGATATATATCGTTTTGCACGTTGGCATTCATTTAATTTTTCTTTGTTTCGTTTTATAGGTTCTTTTGTTGAATGTTTATATACTTTTTGGAATTATTATGTTTGGGATTGTTGGATATAGTTAGACGCATTTTAGGATTCTTATGTTTAGTATTGTTGGATATTTGAATAAAATTTGGGATATTGAAATGCAAATGAGTTATAAATGCATGGGAAAGCATTTATCATGTATGTTCACCATGATCATTATAGTTCCCCTATGTTATATAATGGATACAATTTGTTGGGATGGTCTGGTTCATAATCTGTTCTGTTTTAGCATTGTGGGTGAGCAGCCACTGCATTCTGTCTTTGACCTGGTGTATCATCTGCAATGTCCTGGTGAGCAGCAGCAGCATTGGTCTGGCCCTGGTTTTTGCCTTGCTGACTACTGCTGTTTAGTGGTTTTGTTTTTGCTTTCTTTGGTTGTTCTTGATTGGATATAAACTCCATGCTAGAGCTCAACCAATCATGGCATGGAGACAAAAAAAATCTTCCATTTTCTTTATTGGTTAGTGGTAACTACTAACAAAATGATGTACAAAAGAGATCTCACATTATTGCACACCAATGAGTGAGTGAGTGGTTATGTGTGAGTGGGAAAGAGATAATATAAAAAGAAAAAGAAAAAGAAAAGTAGAGAACAATATATAAGTTCAAAGGTTATCTGTTACTCCCATTTTATGTGACATTGAGTTTTACTTGGGAATACTTTATTGTGCATTGGGAATTTCTTTTGATGGAGGAAATCTAACCTTTATAAATGTCCTTTGAACTCGCTCCAATGGCGTCTCAGAGTGTAATTGGGTTCATTGGCTTGGACCAACTGAGCTTGCAATTGGCCTCCTCACTCCTTCGCTCTGGCTATGCCGTACAAGCCTTTGACGTCTGTCTTCATTTCCCATCTCTCTGTTTGTTCATTGAATTTGTTCACGATTGAATTCAGGGCATTTCGCGATTGAATTTTTTATTCCAAAAGCAATGAATTTTGCTGTGTGTTTGAATAACTTTGAATTTTTTATTCCAAAAGCAATGACTTTGACTTTGATTCCAAAAGCACTCTGATTGTAATTAATAAACTTTGATTGGTATGAAAGGAGATAAGGGGTTAAATGACTTTGATTGGTAAAAGGAATATAAGGGTTCAAAATGACTTCGAATAGTATATTTAGCTACCTAAAGAAACACCTAAAAACAATGATATATATATACTTTTGGATCATAGTAGACTGAATATGTTCTTCTTTTATTTTCTCTATAAATTGTGACCTTATTTTTTTGAAGAGCTAAAAATTGACTTTCTGATGCTTCCTTCTCTCATTTCTTTGCATGCAGATGTTGTAGCTTTGGTTGTATTGATATCTCATACAGATCAAATAAATGACCTAGTTTTTGGTCATGAGAGTGCTTTAAAAGGTTTTGTGGAGATCCTTAATGTTTTCTGAATTTATAATTAGTCTGCTTGGTTGATGTTCAGAATATACTATTTTCTGGTTTTGCAGGGTTACACAAAGATGCTGTCATCATTCTCCATTCAACCATACTACCTGCTCATATACAGAAGGTCGAGAAGCGACTCACAGGCAATTTATTTTCTCTAGATAAAAAAAATATTTGTATAGAATTTTCTTTTATACTCTTGGTTAACTTTTCTGTTCTGTCTGGTTTGTTGGTGGATGTCGTCGTAGTTTTGTGCTATTTAGTTTTAGATTTATCGGCAGCTCAACAGTGTGTTATGATACTCTTTCTTTTCTTTTTTTTCTGTTTCATCATTTTTACTCAAGATTTATCATAGACGGCCATAGTTGTTCTTATCTTTATTTTTCCATTAATGAGATTATAGAGCTTTAGCAACTTTTTAACTCTGCCTAGTGGATCATGCCCTCCATTATTGATATGAAGGTTAATGAGGGCAGGGGAGGTGAGTTGAAATGAAAGGACAAGGGAGAAAGTTCATAGTTAAATCATTTTATTTTTTCTTTTTTTGTTTATCTTTTGGGGAAGGTTTAATGTCTATCTTTCTTTTTTTGTTTTGTTTTTTGTTCTTCTGTCTGCAAATCTCTAATGTACAGGGGTGATGACCCTTTGTGTTCTATGAATCTATACTTTATTTACTTATCAAAAAAAGCAAAAAAGAAAAAAAGAAAAGAAAAGAGAAGAGAGTAGAACATTCAATAATAATGTGTTCTTTACTGTTATACCAAATTTATGCCTTAGAAGTCTACTGGTTACTGGTTGCATCTAACTTAATGGAAAAGCAAAAGAAAGAATTTGGTGTTTGCTCAGCTTGTGCTAAAATTACATCTGCATTGAACATTCTCTAACTCCTCTAATCATTAATCTGTTTCTACTCTAGCAGAGGATTTGGAGAGAGTTTTTGTAGTTCATATATATGTCTCTAAGGGAATGTCAGAGGTTTTGAATCGCAAAATAATGGTAAGATTATATATCTCATATCCTATTTCTTCCTCACATAAGTAGAGGATCATTTTGCTTTTGTTTTGCTATTTTATAGCTGGCTGAAGCTGATATTTCTATAATACGCAGATTATTTCATCAAGACAGTAAATTTGTTTGTGCTAGGTGTTTAACCCAATTTAACAGGGATTGGCACAGGGGAATGGCCCTTCTTCTTTGTTTATTTATGTTAGGTGTTCTAATATCATATTAGATGATGTTATTGTTAATATCTACTTTTCTTTTTTAAATTGCAGCAAAATTAAAATGGTAATAGAGCTGCTTGAGGGCATTCATTTTTTTCTTCTGTGGAGGCCATTTCTCTTGGTGCCCAAGCTGGTATTCATCCATGGATAATTTATGACATTATTTCTAATGCTGCTGGAAATTCATGGTAAATTATTGTTCATAATTCTTTACTGAGGACTATGTTGTGTGTTTAAAATTTAAATATTTCTAGTCCTGAAGCATTCCTTATAAGCATTCTGATATGAAATTGCCAATTCTAGATCAGGCACAACCTTGATAGATGAGACTGCTAATAATCTGATTTGCACCATGGGCACCAGTTGAGACCATGGCACTGATTGGCACGTTCTGTTTCTGACAATGAACTGATTTTGTAGAACCCATGCCTTTAAAGAAATTAGCTGCAAAATTTATTGAACACTGAAAGCCCTTCTTGTTATGTGCTTACATGTATACACATACATGGGAACATCTGTTTACTTTCAAAGATCTGTGCATTTTTATACTAACTCAATAGGTATTCAAGGTTTTGGTGGTTGGTGTTGGTATATGTAAATGCCGTAGTTAGTTTTTTTTTTTCATGACATTCCTAAAATTTGCTAGCATTTTCTTAAGCAGATACTGTGTTACCTTGCTACTAGACATCCTTCCGTTGGATTCAATTTTACAGGGTTTTCAAGAATCATGTACTAGACATCGTTCCGTTGGATTCAATTTTACAGGGTTTTCAAGAATCATGTTCCCCAGTTGCTAAGGGATAATCAAACCAAACATCTCTTGAATACTTTTGTTCAAAATTTGGTAAGTCTTCTCATGTTGTAAGTTTCTTAGTGTTGTTCAAGTGTATTATGAGTAATTTCTTTTCTTCTTGACTTTGAAGTTAAGTTCAATGGGGGTTTTGGGTGAATTAAATGCAAACTGCATTTTTATAATTCCATTCAAATTATGCTTCCTTTCTTGTGGTGGATTTAGCATTTAGGACATTTACTTGATGACCATCTGCTAAATGCATACTAAAATTTTAGACTTGAACACCACTCGGTAATCATTTCTTCATCAATGAATTTGGACACATTGAGACTTTCAATAATGATTTTTAAAAGCTCTACAACATAAGAAAACAGATTTAAGTTCTGAGGTCTAATTTTGTAGAAAAATCTTACGTAAATGTTTCAGGAGCTAAAACTGCCTTCCTATTATTTAACTCTCATGCCTCAAAACTATTTCCAGTGTTGAGTTCGTCTTGCTTGACCACGTTGCTAGTAACAAATTTTTCCATCTTGTTCTCACAATTGATTTTCAGTGTAATATAGTTGAAATCTCAGTTCTTTCATTGAAAACATAAGCCCCAATTATTCACATGAATGTGTGACATTGTGATGCAGAAGCAGTGAGTAGAAGAGGACAAATCCCAAGCAAATAATGTCAAGTTTGTCTAGTTAGTATGAAGTTTGTTTATTTATGAGTCTTCATTTTATTCTTGATTAGAATTTGTTAGTCCCCTATTAGGAGCTTCAGAATGTTCTAGATGTATTTTATTTTTAGGGATTTCTTTGCTATAGTTTATGTGTTGGTTAGTAGACTTCTCTTGGGGTATAATCCAGCCAATTACTTGTTTAGAATTACTTATATTGGTAGATTTTGAATATTTTACAGTCTCTAAATGGGGCAATTTTTAGAAAGTTTATTTCTCATTATGGTTTACTAGTGTCCACATAAAGAGGCCCCTGCTTGATTATGAATTTAGAGTTGGAATTAAAGAGCCAGTGTGGAAATTCCCTATTGACTTGTGTGTGTATCTCAAGCCAACCTTGTGGAGTAGGCTACTCCTTTCATGCTTTTGTTTTCCTATTTGCTGAATTTATGTCTAATTCAAATCTGTCTAACAAGTAACCAGACCTTAATGCAAGAAGCACTAACACTTCTACTCATGTGACACTTTTACTCATCACACTGCCGAGTTGAAATGGTTTTCTGAACTGGTGATGATCTGTGTTGAATCAGTTTGCTGATCTGCTATTCTTCTGGTGCTGCTGTGATGTTGCTGCTGTTGCTGAGATGCTGTCGTGATGCTGCTGTGATGGTGTTTGTTACGATGAGGTGCTGCTATGTTATTGTTGGATGTTTGCTGGTGTTGTTGATGTTTGGAAGGGTGTAGGACTTTTTGTCCAATCTGTAATAGATCAGGTTTTCATTAATGGGGGTTGTCATTAGGTGTAAGTTCGGGCAACTGCTGGTGTTTTGGCTGGAAGGGTATGGAGGGGGTATGGAGGGGGTATTTTGTGTGATTTCATATCCATGTTATTAGTTTGTTATAGTGGTTCCTGAGGGATGCCTCTTGTAAACCTGTAAATCTTTTAAAAAATTATAAATGAGTTTCAATTATTTTTCCCGTTGCAAATTTGTCGTTGTTAAAAAGTGAAGTTTTCTCGACAAATAACTTGTCGGCAAATGTGTAGCTAAAAGTTTATTTTTGCCCACTCATATTGTGTTGCTAAAAGTGTATTTTTTGCCAATGCCAATTTGTCGTTGCCAAAACTAAAGCTTTATCGACAACCAAATCGTTGGCAAATGGCAACATTTACCGACGTAAATGTGTCGCTAAAAGTTACTTTTCCCCACTCATATTGTGTTGGTAGAAGTGTATTTTTTGCCAATGCCAATTTGTCGTTGCCAAAAGTAAAGCTTTAGCGACAAACAAATCGTCGATAAATAGCAACATTTGCCGACGTAAATGTGTCGCCAAAAGTTTTCTTTTGCCAACGCATATGTTGTTGCTAAAAGTATATTTTTTGCCCATGCAAATTTGTGTCGCGAAAAGTGCCACACAATCATCCTATTTGAATGACTTTTACCAACGCAAGGTAAATTGCCGACGATGGATGGAGGCTTTTAGCGACGACTATGTTCGTCGCTAAAGGCATTACTTTTACCAACGCAATCATAATTTCGTCGACAATAACTTTTGCCTACGGGTTGCCAACGTAGCTTTGTGCGTCAGCAAAACTCTTTGCCAATGAATTTTCCCTTTCAGCAACATATTTTGTTGCGTTGCGAAAAATGCAATTTCTTGTAGTGCCATCCCCTCAACCCACCGGCCAAGGATTGAGGCCATCGGCCATGATCTATTTCCATCGGCCAATTATATTAGCCGGTTGGAACTTTTGTTGGTCGGTCGGCCACCTTTGCTGGTCAATCGGCCATTTTTGCTGGCCGAACCATGTTCATCTGCTTTATGCAGATATTTTATGCCAGCTGGATTAGCTGGCACGCATAATTGGCCTCTTGGCTTAGCTTCTCTTAGAAGCTTTGCAATTTGAACCTCTATAAAGTGGGAGCTCCTCCTCCCTCCTCCAGGGTTCAGAAAAATTAGGGTTAGAGAGTGAGATATAGTTTTGTATCTATACTCCCTTGTTTGATCCTATTTTGTTTTTTTTTTCCCCGCGCCTCCAAATGAAGTTTTCTTACTTTTTCACTAAACACCTATGCTTAACATCCTTGGGTTTGCTGAGGCATATTAGGGTTTGTGTTTAGGGGTCTTGAAAAGTATGATTTTTGGGATCAGAGAACCTGCTGAGCTTTTTTCTTGAAGAAGTTTCACAAGGTGAGTTTCTTGCTTTAGATACCCATTGTTAGTTTTAGTCTTCTTCTTATTGTGTTTTAAGCTTCGACATAATAATTGATAAAAGATTTCTGATTTGTGGTTTTTTAGAAATTTTTTAAAGGTTCATTTTGAGGTTTTGGTTGTTTCCCTCCTCAAGCTGTTAGGCCTTGTTTTAGGCCATCCATTTTGGCCTTTGTTATTAGCTTTGCATGGCCTCTCTACCACTGAAATCCAGAGCATTTTCAGTGGTGGAGAGGTGGTTTTGAGGTCTTAAATAGGAGAGGGTCATCCCCTCTCCTTGTTGTCTTGAGTGCTTGCATAAATGGCTTATGTTGGTGGCTTGTATGCCTAGCTTGTTTTAGCTTCATTTCAGTATATATTGGGCTTTTTTTTTCCATGATGTAGCACTATTTTTACTTGGTTTAGACATACCATGCATGCTTTATATACTTGCTTTGCAATCCCATGATTTGCCTTAACATGCACCATGTTGTGACATGTCTTTTTAGCATGATTTTGGCTCAACCTCATGAAGCTTCTAGCTTTGTTTTAACATGCTAAAGCTCTGATTTTGGTTGTTTTGGTCGTTCATGACTTTCTTTGTACAGCCACCATGTAATCTAGCTTATAGGCTTTGAGTATTGAATCCTTTGACATGTTTTACTTGGGCCATTTCAGTGGTTTGGCATCATTTGTTATGTTATTTCAGTCCATATAGTATGTTCAAATACTTGCATTTATCACCTATTCCATGCTTTGGACAGTTTGTGTGTTATGCTTCATGAGTGGATCATTGCGTATGCTTCCATGCTTAGGCCATTTGGATGCCATCTGAGTGTGTTTTTGGCCTTGCCTTGACCTGCATTGGGACTGTTTTGAGTCCCTTTGGCCCTTTGGGGCTTGCTTTGTATAGCCATGGTTTGAGCCCTTTGGTTAGCCTTAGGCCTTGGACCTTCTTGCATGCTTTGCTTGCCTTATTTGGTTGATTTGGCATCATTCCTCACATATTTTCAGAGCTTAATGCATTGTCATATTCTCATATTTATCACATCTTGCTCATGTTTGAGGATTATGCATGGTTGCCTAAGTGTTGGACCACTCACATGTGCATCATTGTTTTGCATTTTCATGCCTCCAATTCTTGACTTTGGCCACTGATTTGGACCTATTTGAGAGCTGTCCATATCGGTTTAAGTCCATCCTTTGCACGTTGTCGCACGCTTGCCTTGCATGTTGTTACATACTTGGCCTTTTAACATGTTGTTGCATGTTTAAGTGGCATTGCATTTGGCATGCTTTGTTGAATAGCTTTGCATGTTTGCATATCTTGTCCCTTTACATGTTGTTACATGTTTGCCTTGCATGCTTGAAATGTCCATGTTGCATTTTGCATGCTTGCCTAGGTTGCATTGCATTTGGCATGCTTGTTACCATTAGCCTTGTATGGCATTGTCATTAACATGATCATGTTGCATTAGTTTTGCTTGCATATTTGCATCCCTTGCCTCTTGATCAATCATGATAGAGGTTAGGATCTATTGTGTGTTTGTGTGCATTTCATTTGATATCAAATTCCACACTCGACACCTTTCGCCATCATGCATTGAAATGCGTGATTGATGGCCCGAGAGTCAAAAGCAAATACTCCCTTGAGCTCATGACATGATGGGGAGGGTGGTGGTGCAAACATTGCTTTGAAAATGCATTGCCATGTGTAGACGTCCGCGAACGTCCCGGGAGGGAATCCCGTTATGTTCATTTGGGCTCACTACAGTTCAGGACTCAAAGTCACGGTCCTGTATCTAATCTCGCAGAGTGTAATGCAAGACCAATGAATCATCAAAGAGTCCAAATCCGGCAAATCGTTTTGGAAAGCAGATTTCTGTAAAGTAGTGCCAAACATGGATTGTTTTGCCAGATACAGTGTCGCAACCTAAATATTTTATTTCAGGGGAATTTATGAAACCCTGACTCGTTGCCTAAGGCCACGTGTCCGTCATCACCAAAGTTGCATCGGCTCGGGAACTTGGGTACGATTGGGGAAGGTCAGCTATGAGCACCCCCGTTCGCCCGATCAAAGATCGGCCACTACTAAACATGATATCTTGTTTTCGAAAAACACATGCGTTCATATTCCGGTTTATTAACCTAGAATTACTATGTGATGCGCCCAACACACAAGTATAGACTGGATCGTCTGAATTGGAACAAAAACATTTCATGTTTGTTT